AAGACATAAAAACCCTAAATAAAGCAATATAAATCAATGAAATTGAAGATGTAATTAAAAACCTACCAACAATGAAAAGCCCAGACCCTGACAGATTCACTGCTGAATTCTATAAGAAATTAAGAGAAGACCTAACACCACTACTCAAACTCTTTAATGAAACTGAAAGAGAATCAATACACTTCCAAATTCATTCATGAAAGTAGGCATTATCCTGATACCAACACCAAAAAAGGATCCAAGACAGAGAATTACAGGCTAATTTCCCTAAGGAACATAGATGCAAAAATCCTCAATAAGATATTGGCAAACAGAATGCAGCAAATCATCAAGAAGATTATATACCAAGCAGAATTCAAGCCAGGGATCTAGGGATGGTTCAACATACATAAGTCAATTAATGTAGTACATCACATCAATAGAGCCAAGGACAAAATATCATATGATCATCTCCATAGATGCAGAAATAATTTTTAACAAAGTCCAGCACCTATTCATGATAAAAACCTATAGCAAATTGGAATAAATGGTCTTCATCTCAATGTGATAAATGCCATCTCTTACAAACCAACAGCCAACATCATACTAAATGGACAAAAACTGAAAACCTCTCTAAAATCAGGAACAATACAAGGATGTTCACTCTCTCCACTCTTATTCAACATAATTCTAGAAATTTTAGCCAGAACAACTACACAAAAGAAAGAAAAAAAAAGAATAAAGACAGAAAATGAAGAAGTGAAACTATCATTATTTGCAGACGACATGATACTCTACTTAAACTCCAAAACTCCACCAAAAGACAACTAGATTTAATAATCAAATGCAGAAACATAGCTAGATACAAAGTCAACATTTAAAAATCAATAGCCTTCTTGTACATGACTAACAAACTCTCTGAAAGAGCAATCAGGGAAATAACACCTTTTACAATAGCATTGAAAAAAAGGAAATGTCTAGGAATCAATCTAATGAAGGATGTAAAACACTCCTACATTGAAAACTACAGTACTCTGTAAAAGGAGATTGAAAAGGATATTGAAGATGGAAAGATATCCCACACTCTTGGGTAGGAAAAACCAATATAGTGAAAATGGCTGTACTTCCAAAACTGTTACATAGATTCAATACAATCCAAATCAAAATTCCAATGGCATATCTCATAGAATTAGAGAAAACAACCCTAAAATTCTATCTGGAACTAGAAGAGACCAAGAATAGTAAAGGCAATTCTGGACAACAGAGGCAAGGCAGGGGCATCACAATCCTTGACTTGAAATTATATTATAAAGCTACTGTGATGGTAGTGTGGTACTAGCAAAAAACAAAACAAACAAAAAAAAAAACAGATGTAAACATCAATGGAAGAAATTAGAAGATGCAGAAACAACTTCAGACACACTAAGCCACCTTATCTTTGACAAAGGCACCAAACACATTCACTGGAAGAAAGAGAGCTTTTTTAATAAGTGGTGTTGGGAAAACTGGCACTGCACATGCCAAAGATTAAAACTGGACCCATACCTTTCACCATGCACTAAACTAAAATTGAAATGGATCAAAGATCTAAATATTAAACAGAAACATTAAATCTTCTGGAAAAATCAAATATGTAAAACTCTTGAACACACTGGTATATGCAAAGATTTTATGAATAAAATCCCAATTGCACAGGAACTATCACAAAGAATCAACAACTGGGATATTAAAAAGCTTTTCCATAGCAAGAGATACTACCAACAAAGTGAAAAGAAAATCGACAGTGTAGGAAAAAATGTTTTCAAGCTGTTCGTCAGACAAAGGATTACTACTGAGAATCTATAAAGAACTCAAAAAAAAAATTAGACCTCCCAAATTTGAAGACCCAATGCAAAAATGGGCATCTGAGATGAATATACACTTCTGTTATGGATTAAGAACTGGTGGTCAACTTAATGCCAGCTGGATCACATCAGCATGGCATTGAGCGAAGATGCTCCACCTGAGGAAAGCTGCCAGGATAAATAGGTGCAGAAGGAGGGAGGTGTTGAGGGTCGAGGTGTTAATGAGTTGTTGTGTGGAGGCATTGAGGGTTCTCCTACAAGTTGCAGTTTTAGCTGTTGGTTCTCCTGGAGAAGCTTTGGTCCTCACATTGAGCATTGCTTCCTGGCTCCAGAGGGGAAGACGTGTGCCGCTTGGTCTCCAAGGATGAACAAGGATGAACTTGGCACGTTACTTCCTGGCATGTACCCGACTGTGCTTGTCAGAGGAGGAGCTCGGGGCCTCCGTGTCGCTGAGGACAGCTGTGGTGCCTTTCAGGACTGCCCTGGTCTTTGTTGTGAGTGTGACTTCTCGGCTCCAGCATAGAACCCTCATCCAACTAGCACAGCTCCTTCAACCTGCTGGCATAGACTTTCTGGCTCCCACTGCTGACCCTTGGGTCTTCCCAGCATGGATCCGTAAAAGAGACTGGTGTGAGTCCTTCTTGTGGGCTCTGGACCTCCAGTTGGATTCGTGGGAGGCGTTGTCCTGAGCTCTGGGTTTTTATCTGGACTCATATGGGACATTGCTGTGGGATTTAGGCTGACTAAATATTCTATGTCTTTGGTATTGTGGATAGATTTCCTGCATTTTCCTGTGTTAACTCCCAGTGACCATTATAAAAATAATATTATAAACTCCATGTCTTGATCCTAATTGTTCTCTGTGTACAATCCCTGACTACAATAACTTCTCAGATGAAGAAATACAAACAGCAAATAAATACATGAAAAAAATGTTCAACGTCACTGGTCATTCAAGAGATGCCAATTAAAAAAACACTGAGATTCCACCTCACCCTGCAAAGAATGGCTATATCAAATGCTGGAGGAGATATGGGGGAAAAGGAATGGTTTTCCGTTGTTGGTGGGCATGTAGACTGGTGCAACCACTCTGGAAGTATGGAGGGAGAGTCCTCAAAAAACTGGGACTGGAGGTCATTTGACACAGCTATTCCCCTTCTGAATATCTTTCTAGAAGAATTAAAAACATTATACCATAGTGATATATGTGCACCCATGTTTATAGCAGCACAATCTGTAATACCTAGATCTTAGAAACAATTTAAATGCCCATTAACCCAAGAAAGGATAAAAAGATGTAGCGTTTTTTATACAATGGAGTACTACTCAGCCATTAAGAAAGATAAGCTTGGGACTTTTATAGGTAAATGGATGCAACTAGAGACCATACTCATAAGTGAAATAAGTCAGACTCTAATGTGTAAACATATTATCTTCCTAGTGTAAGAAGCTGAAATTATATATATTTAAGATAATTATAGTACTAATTTCTCTTAGTTCATTGAAAAGAAAGTTTTGTGCTAATATTGTTTGGACAATTAAATGCAGATACCCTGGACACTGAGTAACTAATTTAAAGATAATAATATGTAATATATTAACAATTGTCACCCTCTAATTATCTTGTTTTGAACATTTGTTTCATTTTTTCTCTTTAAAATAAAAAAAAAAAATGGTAACACGAGACTGCCCTGTTGAAAAACTTTCCAGTTCCCAATACTTATAAACTCCAAAAAAATAGTTACATCTGGAACACTCATTCCCTGAGCTTCTAGTACGTCTTCTGTACCAAGTTCTGAGGACACAAAGGCTGTCATGAAGCTTACATTCTAGTTCACAAGAAATTTTTAAAAAAACTATAAGCAAGTAACAGTAATTTCTCAGCAGTAAGTGCTATGAAAAAATAACGAAGACTATGATAGTGACTAAATAAAAGATAATTTTGTAGCTAAAGTTTCTCTGACATTTGAACTAAGACAGATGAGAAGACAACTAAGGCAAGAACATTTCAGGAAGAGAGAACAGCACATACCAAATGTCTCAGACCGTTTTCTTTTTGAACATACATTCTCACCACAAAGCACCTGTTTTCCTTTTCCTTTGCTCTGAAACGTCTACCTTTGCATGAAAGCTCATCTGAGATTCTATTCCTCCATGAAGCCTTTTAATCTCCCTACTTTTTATACTCCTTCCATTCCATTAATCACACATGTATTAGCTTTCATTTGGGAATATAATTACCTCTATACATGAAGCAAACATATCTGATTTCATATATCCAAATGCATGGTATCCCTGAAAGAAACCACTTTTCAGTCAGTACAAAAATTCAGCAGCTTCTATATGCAGATACTATGTCAGATTCCAAGTTAAGAAAAATAAGTCATTGTTTTTTTGAGTCATTCAAAAAAGTCATTCACTTTTATGATATTCATAATGCTTCTGAAATGTGTTCATATTGCCCTTTTGGCTAGAGAGACCAGTGTATCATAACCAGTCTCATTCCTTTATAAGTAGCAATGTCCTTCCAATAAGAACAATTCTTCACTTGATCAATATCTTTTTAAAAAGCTTCAATTCATCTCCAAAAAACTTTTTGGCTATCAAAAAAAACAGTATACATTCCCCAAAAGCAGATGCCTGCTTAAACCAATGAAGTCTGAAACAAACCAAAGTATATGTCATATACACTGAAAGCAACTAAAGGTGTTTCTAATACATGTTAAGAGTGATGCAGCTCGAGGTGTAGCTCAGCAGTGCAGTGCCTACCTGGCAACCAAGGTCCTGAGTTCAATTCCTGATTAAAAAAGAAAAGAGTGATGGCTCCATCAGAGGAGATAACTCACAAAGATTACTATTTAGGAAGCGTCAACACTTGTTCAAATAGTGATTTACTAAAATGTGACATTATTTTATACACAACTCTCTTTCATAAGCAACAAAATAACATATAATGTAATTTTTAATAATTACTTCATTCTCAGTATTTTGCTACCAGTTACAAAAGTTTCCAAGAGCCAAATGCATAACTGATGATAAATTAACATGTATAAAATGGAATATAGTTACTTCTTTTTCACCAGTTATTTTACTAGTTATTTCAGGATAGTAGGAAAAATTCAGAGCCTACATGGGATTGAGAAAGCTACCACATCCTCCCCCTACACCCGGACTCACCTGGAGCTGTATTTCTTGAGGATGGTGTCCAGAAGGCCCACAAGCTCTTCAGCATTGATGAACTTCTGTGTACTGAGGGTGTACATCTTCTCATAGAAGTCTGCGATCTCCATCCGAGCCTGAACAAAGAAGCAGAGCTGCTCTGATAGGTGGGAAAGGAGTTCTTCCACATGCGGAGCAGTCCCACCCAGAGCTCCTCGGCCTGTCACCACCTTCTTCAGCTCATTATGCAGGGATGTATAGATGGTGCGAATGGAATCCTTCCTGCTAAAGAAAGACTGACCACCTAGTAGGCAAATGACAGGAGCAAACAATAGGTAAAGAAAAGCCTGAATAACCAACACCTCCCAGCAGCCAAAAGGAAACAACAGGAAGCACAGAACTCACCGCTGTCATTTCTCTGACCCTGACTGGGATACAAACACTTTAGGATCATAATTTTACTGAGGAATGACCTGAATGAATACTTGGTACAGTCATGTAGGATTGTCTCAACCAGGTACTAATTCTCTGCCACTGCACTACAATAAGCATTGAGATTTATTTCAAAGCATCACTAACCTAGCAAATACTATCAATTTGGCTCTAAAAGCCTTTATTTTCACATAAATATATTTAAAACAAAACAAAGTATTCATTACAAAAACACTTTTCCTATTTCTGGTAAATAAGAATTTTTTGTTTCTGCTTTAGAGTTGCATTTTCCTTTGAAAAATCTTATCTTTCAGGCCACAACAGAAAACAAAAATACACACAAACACACATACACACACACACTCCTTATATGCAAGAATACATACTGAGATCTCAGAGGAAAAAAAGAAAGTCATAGCACTCTTGACAAGACTGACACTGTAAGATATAATAAGTACCATGTTCTGACTTACTAAGACCAGTAACTAATTGTAAGTGGCTGTTAGTAACTAATTGTAAGTGGCTGTTGTTATGATTTAGAGGTTCCAAAAGAAATCAACAAAAATAAAGCCAACTCACTTTTTATAAGTTAAAAAAGGTCAAATAGCATAGATATCATTTATTTCCAGATTTATATATGATTAATCATATTTCTAATTAGAACCAACTTCATGAATGATTTCTTAAGCAATCTGGCATCCCCCAAAGAGCCAGCAAAGAAAAAAGAAACAGTACATTTAAAACACTAATTTCTAGGAATCTACAAAAATCTAAGATAGGTGCCTGTTTAAATTTTTTGTTAATAAACCTGGAATGTAATAATGGTTATTTTACTAAACATATTAATCAGTTTCAATTTATCAAGGTATTTTTAAAATATCTACTTAATAAATGAACCATTTTATAGTATTTTTAGTTTGATGTTTCAAGAAATGAATCTCCCATCCCTTACTACTATGATGACCAGCTGTCCCAGTTTTCCCAGGACTTTGCAGGCTTTAGCATTGAAAGATTGGCTTCCTGAGTCTAGGGTTTTTGTCTGTTTGCTTCTTGAGATGAGGGTCTCACCATGTTGCCCGGGATGGTCTCAAATTCACTGGCTCAAATGACCTTCCCACCCTAGTTTGCCAGCAGCAGAATCTGTATGATAGCCTAGTTTAATCCAGTTTAAAACCATGTTCTCTATGGGATGTGGTAGCACATCTCTGCAATCTTGTACTCTGAGAAGATGAGGCGAGGCAAAGATCAATCCCATTCAGACAACTAAGTAGCTTAGATAGGTCCTGTCTCAAAAGACAAACTTAAAATAAGGTCCGGGGTTATAATTTAGTTCAAAAGTTCTAGGTTCAAACCCTAGTACTGCCACTGCCCCTCCAAAGTCCCATGCCTGGGAACCTTTGATCTAGGACAAATCTGAATTGTTGGTCACCCAACTTAAATCATGACTCTTCAAAGTACTAATATGTGTTTTCTCCAATATGCTATCTAAACAAAGCAGCTCCTACTAAAAGGAGAAAAAATTAGTGACAGCGATATTAACATTGCAGATAGGACTATACCCTGTAGGGTCTCCCTTCCTTCCATGTCTATATGTCCTGACTTTATGGAATGCCAGGTAAGAATAAATAGGTCTCCGTGCTCATATCTAGACAAAATCTCTTAGATTGGGAAGAAAGTAAAGTATGATTATGCAAAACCCCAAAATTGTGATGTCTGAAAGACTTGGTTTCAAATTTTAGCTCCAAAACTCAAAAGTTATATGATGTACAAACTACCTAGCCATTTTGAGCCTTATTGTTGTCGTCGACATGAAACTAGTAATAGAGCTGCTAAACAAAAATTAAATAAATAACATCTGTAATATGGCCTGGAATAAACCACATACTGAATGATACTAGTCCTATTTTCTTGCACTTATAAATGATACAACAAAACTCCCAGTAATACATAACTGAGTTTGGAAAACTCTGGTAAATTCCCGGCTTTTGTCACATAGGTAGGTGACTTCAACTTGTACTCACTTCCACTGCTCAACAGGATGGCCTTGGTGAAAAATTCAACTTTGCACCTGAAACCAGGCTACTTACTCCCATCAGATTACTGTTATCTAGGAGAATGGAAGCACTACACAAATACAAAGAATACTTCTAAAAGCTTATCAATAAACACCAGTGTCCAGTACATGAACCGTAAAATGAAACCATATTAAGGAAGAGAGAGCCCACCAATGCATTTCTTTTAGACAGATCTCTTTTCTCTCAAGAACACAATCCTATCTGTTGACTACCCTGGTTTGGAATATCCAGTGCAGACTAACCTTCTTTCCTGCTGGGAAACAGACTAACCTTCTTTCCTACTCACAAACACTTGACTTCTTTTCTCTTTTCAATATTTTGAATTTATAAAATATGATTACTTTGCATTACTCTCAGAAGGTTCTGGTTGAGGATCCTCATTATTTTTCAAGATCTCAACAGTTCATCTCACATGACAAAATTCCAAATATATTAAAGGAACATGTAAAACATTTTGGGTATTAAACTCTACAAATTCTTACTAATGATAATTTTTAAACATCAGTTCTCATTTTCTACAATGTCAAATTTTAGCAATAAGAGATTGAGAAAACTCCAGAAGTAAAACTAAAGAGAAAAGTATGACCTAAAATCCTTCACAGGTAGTGAGTGAGTCAGTAGGTTTTAGTCAATGATCCTTTTCCAAACAGATATAATTCTTCACTCAAAGGAAAGAGAAGGTGCCAAGATAAGGGCACTGCTCAAAGTTTTTAAGTAACAGAGCCAAGACAGGAACAGAAGGCTACTGTCAGGTCTATCTTTTGTTTGAAAGCCCACATTTGCATCTATAATAAGGATTCACCGCTACAGGTCTGAGATAAAAAAGGCTAATTTTCACTTGAAACTTGTGAAGACAGTCTTAAGTGTTCTTAAAAAGATGAAAGACAGATATTACGATATGCATATATGCTACATTACTTACCTCCACCGTGGTGATTTCACAATGTATATCAAAAATAGTTGTACATCTAAATGTATACAATTTTTGTTAATTACACCTCAATAAAGTGAAAAAAACTTTTCCAAAATATATTTTGAATCTTTAAAAGTAAGCACAAATTTTGTCTTGCTTTATAAAGAAAATATAAAACTGTTAAAGTAGTTATAGAACATGGAAATCTTATATAGCAACATAAAAATTTTTCCCTGTGTTTTAAGAAAATGGACAGTCAATCTAATAATCATGAGATCCTATTGTAATCACACTGATATCCCATATGCTCCAATACAAAACAACAACAAAAAATGTAAAGAGTTTAAATTCTGGAATTTACATTAACTGCACTGATACTTTTTATATGTAAGTCCTGAGGCAAAATTAAACATGTCATTTCCAGAACATTTATTCAAAAGTGATATCACCTGGGAGCCTAGCAGTGTCTAGGCCTGTTTCACAGCAGGAACTGACTGTAAGATAATTTCAAACTCTCAGGCCCATCCAAACCAGCTAAGAGTTCAAGCAGAACTCACCACTTTGCATAATAACGGCCACTTCAAATAGGAGACAGTGAAGGACTCATGCACATGTTCTTACATACAGCAGCTAATTCTATTTACACAAAAACCCTATTTATACAATGTATTACTAAAGTAACATACTTTTTAACTGGAGTCTGTAAATAGGCTTTAGGAAATCCAATTAACACCCCTTCATTTTATATGCAAAATGTTTAGTGCACACATTTTTTCTGGGAAGTAAATCTTCAGTTTTCATCAAATTCATATTGATAAGCCAATCATCATCATCATCATCTAAGAATTGTGGCACTTGGATCAATCACCATTTTTTTCTAAATGGGGTAATATAAAAACAACTAGAATTGCCAGAATAGTATCTATTTTAAAATTACACTTAGATCCCTGCCCATTTTCATTATATAAATATATATACATATTTATGTATATATAAAATATAATAAATTATATGTATACATTTTTAACAAATTATATGAATACAGTCGACCTGGTAATTCAAAGGTAGGCTTGTCTGGGCTCTATCACTTTGCTATGGCATATACAATTTGCTAATTCTTAGAAAGGAGAATCATAACATAGTAACAACAACTGCAATTTGTGAGAGATGCCACTGTAAAAAGAGGGAAACACACACACACACACACACACACACACACACACACACACGGTGAAACTCTGACTAGCTTTTTGCCAATATATTTACATAACTAAACAAGCTATTTCAATAGCTGCAGCATACAAATTTCAAAAACCCTGCCCCTGTAGAGTTTCCCAGGTCAGTAAGTGGTCCCTTCAGGCAATGTAAAAGGGAAATCAAAATGAAATTTACAACCTATTTTTCATTTCTAGTCTTATATTGTATATAATGTACTTTTATTCATACCAGGTTCTGTTCATACTATATAATCAACGTGCCAAAATAGGCCAAAGCACTAAAACACCCCAAATACCCTGGGTTTGTCATTATTACAAGTAATACTTAGCATGTATAGTCTTTGCACCTACATTGATTACTTCCTTTTATCCACTCATATTTGCTCATACCAGTTGCACCAGCTGTTGTTACTAATGAAAGTCGGTTGAATGAGCTCCTGTATCTTATTTTCAGAGGCAAGACTTAACACAAGGCACTGAAAGTGTCTAGCACTTTCCCTTTAAGTAGCTTCTTCTAGGGTTTGGCATATTTCTTGTCTTTCCTGCCCAGTATCCATTTATTCTTCGTTCATTAACTATGTACTGAGGAACTATGACGGATGGATAGGATTGCGTAGTTCTAACATTCAAGGGGCCTTAACCTTGAAGCCAAACAAGTCGTTTTATATTAATACAACTAGGTTGAATTGTCAAGCTTTGCTCCCTGACCACAGTGTCACTAGTTAGAAAGACGAGGACAGAGTTGGGTTAATTTTTCATTTATAAAATCAATCCATGCACGAGGCAAAACAGTAAACCCCTAGGGTTGGCGGCAGCCCTGCAAGAGCTTCCGCCGCATCTGCCAATCTATCAGCGGGGCAGGCCGGTGGGCGGGGCTTGTGGAAGCCAAGGGAAGGAAAGGAACAGTGGGAGGAGCCCGAGTTGAGAGGCAGGAAACCCAAGCTAGTGCCGCCTGGAGCATACACCCCTTTTCGTTCCTCCTCTAGGGGTAGGGGTAGGCGCGAAGATACCTAGTTTCTGCCCCAGGTAGGTGAGGCTGTGATAGACCTTCTCGGCCGCGGCCAAGTGCGCCAAGGCCGCCAGCAGCGAGAGCCAGCTGGCACCCGCACTCTTGTTGGCCTCTCGTTCCTTCTCCACATTGTCCTTGGCCTTGTCGTAAGAGAAGATACCCAAGTGCGAGAAGAAAGTCTCCAGCACCGCCTGTTCCACGGGGACCGGGGCGGCAAGCGGGATAGCCTCCCCCATGCGAGCTGAGCTCCAGCTCGACCCACGTGGTTCTGCGCTCCCTCGCACTTCCGGGTTCTCAGGGAACGAGCGTGCGCAGCAGTCTGCGTGCGCGTAACCACGTCAGGCGGCGGCGCCGGGGCCACGGCTAGGCCTCACCGAAGACGCGAGCAGGGTCAGAAGCGGGGAGACCGCCGCTCCTACGCTCCCATGGCGCTCTGGCTTCCGCTGTTCGGACTGTCACAGCCTCGGACTAAAACGGGAGCGTCCAGTTCATAGCTCGCTGGAGCCGGCGGCGCTCTGAGGTGAGCTGCCTGGCCCCGCCCTGTGATTTGCGTCAGGTCGATGTCGTCACGCTCTCCTGACGTCAGGTTTGCGTTCACCTCTGGCCAGGGCTAGTCCTAGGTTTGAGAGTGCCGACAGATGCACGAGGATGGCACCTGGGATGGTGCTCACCTGCTCTCACAAGGACCCCAGGCAGTGTGTATCGCCTTTAAACCAACTCAAGAAAGTGACATGTAGATGAGAAACCTGATAGGAAAAGGTTTGTGTCTCATCTTTGTCGTCTGGTTAACATTCCATTGTACCCATTCTGGTCGGATCAGGGCTTTTACCACCTTCCCCTGACTACAGGCATCGATTCACTTTGCTCATCCTATCCAAAGTGCCATGAAAAGTTCTCAAGCTGAAGGATAAATTAATGTAAATTGCTGCATTTTGTCAGATTAATTAGAAATTGTTTGACATTTAAAGAAACATCATTAACCCACCTTATAGGTATGCCTGCTGCTTTGAAATACTCCTTAGCATGCCCTGAATGTCTCCCTTCGTGTACATGCTAATTTTGTTACTCAATCGCACTGTATTCAATCACCTAGATTTACAGATCTCTTCCCCCTAAGTGGTGAACCGCCTAGGACAGTGACTAGGCATCACTTAGCAGTACAGTTGTTTCGAAATGGACAGTACATGAATAAGGGAATTGCCTGTTTTCATTTTTTTGTGATATTAAAAACTGTTACGGTTTTACTGCCTTGTAATGCAAATCCCATTAATCTAATTTCAGTGATCATATGTTGTACATGTGTTCCTTGCCCCCAAGAATGTAAATGGGTAAGCTCAGTGCTGTTGTGCATATAAGGCGAAGTTTTATGCGAGATGAAGATGCAAATAGGGAGAGCCAGTACATCTTTGGAAGAAGCTAGGTTTCTGAAGGAGAATGTAATGGTTCTTGATGATTGAATAGAAGTTAGTAATCGAACACAGTGTAGCAGCCGCCCCCAAACCAATAGACCATAAGAGATTACAGAGCTCATTACACATACCCATATAATACTGTGTAAGAGTTTCATAGAGGCTGGGTATGTGAGTTGAACCAGGGCACTTGCAAGATGGAGTTTAGCCTGAACAATTTAGTGACTTACACCTTGTTTCAAACTAAAAACTTTTTTAAAAGAGTAAGGATGTAGCTTAATCCAAAGACTCTGGGTTCATTCCCTAGTACCAGAAAAAATTCCTTGATAAAAAAGGTGGCATCATAAATGAGTGGCATAACTTTCAATAGAAGTGAAGGAGACATGGTGAGATTTTCAGGTTTTTTTCCTCTAATAAAGAATTATTGAATGTATTTTAAAAACCCATAAACTATAGAAAAATACAAGTGAATATTTTATTGATCTAGTGATAAGCTAATTATGAAAATATTGGAAGAACTTTACAAAGTGAGTTGACTATATAAAAATTTTAAATTTTCTCATGTCAAGAAAACACAAGCCAACCTGGGAAAAGTGTTAGTAATACATATCAAAGGTTTAATGTTTAAAGTGCTAACATGTCAAGATCACTTTCAGACCAGTAAAAATAAAAGGGCATGAATATACAAGTCCAAAAAGATATATAAAACATAGTAATTATTACTTTAAATGCTTAAACCCAGTAGTAATCAAATAAATGCAGATAAAACTATAGTTTATTTTCCATCTAACAAAAACTTTCAAATTGTTGAATCTGTCCTTATTATGGCAGACGTGAGTATACCTTGGTATGAACTTTCTGGAAAACATTTGGCATTTGGCAGTGTGAATAAGAAAGGATACAGCACTCAGGAGACTGAGGCAGAAGGTTTGCCTCGAATTGAAGACCAGCTTGGGCTACAAAGTGAGTTCAAGGCCAGCCTGAACCACATAGTGAAATTCTGTCTCAAAAAGTATGAAAAAAAAAAGCAGTATGTGTGTGTGTGTGTGTGTGTGTGTGTGTGTATCAAAAACAGACAAAGGAGATGCCTAATATTAGTAATACTTATCATTGTTTAACATACTTTTCAACTGAACACAGATTTGGGAGAGGGAGAGAGAGAAAAATGCGCCAAATCTACACATGTACATCTGGAAAAGAAAAACTTGTATAAGTATTTTAATACTAAATATTGGGACATCAAGAGATTAATACAAGTTACCTTTGGTCTCTACAATTACAAGAAGTGCTCAAAGTGGTAGTCATTAACTTCAAGACATTTATTAATATGGTAAGCTGCTGAAATGTGTGTACATTTTTGACTCCCCCCCCACTTCTATAACATTTTCTTTTATCTTTTCATCTTGTCTGTACAGTTACATTGTTTCTGTATCTTGACTTATGTGACTAATGCTGGACTGAGTATGGGTATGTTTTCAAGATACTTGTCTTAGTTACTTTATTCTCATTTCTGGAGCAAAATATCCAACACCCAAAAAGAAGGAAGGAAAGGTTTATTAAGCTCACTGTTGTGGAGGTTTCAGTCCATAATCAGCTGGCTCTAACGCAGAGTGGCATGGCACAGAACAACATTTCAAGGCAGCAGTCAGAGCAAAAAGAGGGAACAGGCCTCTTCTTTTTATATTATACACAGGCTAACACCACCCCACTGGCCCACCCTCCACCCCCACCCTAAGCATGTGTAGCACTCACAAAATATCTGTGCCCTCCTCTTGCACAGGATAAGGATATTTACACAGTAAGGAGCCTGGCTCCTTGCTGAGTCCTCAGTTAAACTTCTAAACTTCTCAAGTTGACATAGTGTATCAACCTTTACAATACTGTTATCATTTCCCTTCAATATGTACCAAGAAACAGGATGGCTGGATCATATGATGATTCTATTTCTAGTATTCTGAGGAACCTCCATGTAATTTTCCATAATAACTATACCAGTTTTCACTCTCACCAACAGTATATGAAAATTCCCTTTTCTCCAAACCCTTAACAACACATTATCTCTTATCTTTTTGATAATAGCCATCCTAAGTGATGTGAGATGATATCTCATGGTTTTGGTTTGCATTTTGCATATGAGCAGTAACAGTGAAAGTATTTTTATGTTCCTGTTAGCCATTTACGTGTTTTTGGAGAAATGTCTATTCAGATACTTTGCCAATTTTTAGTCGGGTCATTCATTTTATTTCTTTGGTATTAAAGTACTTATACAAATATAGATATTTGAGATATTAATCCCTTATCAGATACATGGTTTTCTCCTTTACCACTGATTATTTTTTGTTATTTGTTTTCTTTTTTTTATTTTTTATTTTGTTGTTGTTTTGGGACAGCATTTTGCTATGCAGTTCAGGCTCCCCCTTAACTCACAGGAATCCTCCTGCCTCAGCCTCTCAAATGCTGGGATTACAGGCGTGGACCACCAGGCCTGGCACCTTTTCATTTTGTTGATTGCTTCCTTTAGTGTGCAGAAGCTTTTTAATATAGTGTTATAGTCTTGCTTGTTTATTTGTGCTTCTGTTGCCTGTGATTTTGTGCCATATACGCAACAAAACATTGGCAAGACCAATATTAAAGACCTTTCTCTTGTATGTTCTTGTAGAAATTTTACAATTTCAGATGTTGCATTTATGTCTTTAATCCGTTCAAGTTAATTTTTATGTATAAGTATACAGATAGCCAATTTTTCCAATATCATTTGTTGAAGAACCATCCTTTACCCATTGCACATTTTGATGCTCTTGAAAAGATCAACTGATAACAGGTTTATTTCAGGACTCTTCTGTTCCATTGATTGGTATGTTTACTTTTATGATAATACCATTACTGTTTTGATTAATACATCTTTGTATTATTATTTAAGGTTAAGAAGTATGATAAGTTTAGCCTTATATTTTTTTCAGGTTTAGTTTGGTTATTTAATGTCTTTTGTCATTTCCCTACAAACGTTAGGATTGTTTCTTCCACTTCTTATTTTTAAAAATACCACTAGAATTTTGATGATGATTGTGCTGAAACTGAAGATTGCTTTGATTATAAACATTTTAACAGTGTTAACTTTTCCAGTCTGTGAACTTAGGATATCTTTTCATTTATTCATGCTTTTCCTAGGTTCTTTTGTCAGCAAGCTGTAGTTTTTATTCTGCAGATCTTTTGCTCCTTTAGATTACTCCTAAATTTTGTTTTGTTTTTGTTGCTGTCAAAATGAGATTGTTTTCTTAATTCCTAATTTGGATAATTGATCAGGGCATCTGATCATTTTATTGTGGTACTGGACTTGCTATTTGCTGAGAATTTTTGCATCTGTTCATCAGAGATACTGACTTGCAATTTCTTTGTCTGACTTTGATGTGTTGGTTAGTAAAGTCACTTATAAAGTGAATTTTGGAAGTAGTCCTTCTTTAGCTTTTGGAAGAATTTGAAGATTTGCATTAATTCTTTAAATTTTTATTCACAGGCTTAACCTATGAACCATCTGGCCCTAGCTTTTTCTTTTTGGGGAGTTTTTTGTTATCTGCTTCCATCTGCTCATCCTTTTAGACCTATTCAGTGTTTGGTTTCTTCAAGATTTAGTCTTCAGAGGCTATATACTTGTAGGAATTACAATAATACTTGAATTTAATGAATTCATTAAGTATTAATGAGTTCATTAAGTATCATTGGCAGATTCTTGTTTTGTGAGAACATTATAAGACGTAGTTTAAGACATGTTAAGTTGTTAAAACATTAAAGTTATAAAGCAAGAGTTACTTTATGTCATGACCGGTTCAGCCCATAAGCAAAATATTTTGCATAGCAGCATAAATATTTATTTATTGATGATATGAACTATTGCTGTGTAATAAATATCCTGAAATTTAGTGACTTAAGATTATAAAAATCATTTCACTATTTCTCATAATTTCAGGGAGTCAAAAATTCAAGAGTTACTCCAGAAGTTGTGTCTCAGTGTCTTAAAAGGTTGCAGTCAGATGTTTGTAAGGGCTGCATTCATCTGAAGACTTGACTGGAGATGGAGAATCCACTTTCAAAGTGACTCTGACATGTTTGATGA